CATGATAGTGTAGAATAATCATATCCAAGGACCAGTGGTGGGTTTCAAAAAATTTTGGAACCTCTGGGTGTGGCCTACTTTCCAGATCCACTGGTGGAACCTCTTCTAATCGGTTCGGTAGATTTGACGAACTAGTTCTACCGAATAGGTGCGAACTGGTAGGAACCCACCTCTGACCTACCCCCACCCCCAAGGTCAAACATAACCCTGATGGGGCCCTCAATGAAATCGAGTTTAACACTCCTAGTCTAGAGTAAAAGTAAATGCTGCACATCTGAAGTCTATCTAGACTGAAGTTTATCTGTTTATTAAAAGTGGCAAGTAATATATTTTTACTTTTTAATTTAGGACCAATTAATAAGTAATAATTAATAACAAAGTAATAACAAAAATAACGGCAATGAAATCAGATGCACTTTGCCAGAAAGTTTAGCGATATCATCACATCAGAAAAAAAATATTAAGCCATTAAATGATTTAATGTCTGCAACTGAGCCCAAGAAAGCATTAAAGTAAGCCAGAGAACGAATGAGATTGGTTAAGGGAAGAGACTTGGGGCTCTTCCACACTTTGTGCTATGTAATAATATTTCAAGCTATTTTGTGGCTTTCATCTGACCTTAATTATAATATAAAGCCCTCAGTGCAACTTAAAGAAGAAAGTATTCTATGGTTCTAATGTTACAGAACTGGTGACAAATGTTGACTTTTCAAGAACCGCATTCTGCAAATTCGGTGCTACGCTCTGACCCTTGCAACATCAGCTCTTCCTTCTGCTTCAGCAATTTCTGCTCTTACTTAAACATCTGCTGGGTGGTTTTGGTTTTTTTGCATTCTGAATTCTGAGGAAACCTATTTGCTATCTCTGGGACAGCAAGCTGCCCTGTTCTTTCAGCGAATGAAGGCTATTGCAAAACCCACACACACACAGAGTAATAGTATACAATTTCTCTCATTTAAAAATGCAGCTAAAATTTAGTGCTGTTAGAGGATGTGGCAGGAGAATTTTATGTTTATTATGCTAAACGTGGCCCTCAAACTCTCCTAAAGCCTAAACTTGAGACAGATACCAAAATGAACATAATAAACAATGAAAACAGCACCATGGAATTTTGGGGAAGTTGGATTTATTGTAACAATCTACACCTTAAAAGGTTCTTCTCACACCCACACACTTTCTCTGGACTCTGTGTTCACCTCCCCAAGGAAGGATCATTTCACAATCTGAGAACTCGGATTTACAGGATGGGGTCTGCCAGAGAATTCTGAAATTATCCTCCCTTCCATTTTGTAGTAAGAGGTAATCAACCTTCAAGCACACACACTTGGGAGCTCTATGTGTCAATTAGCATCTGTTGACCGTAAACTTGAGCAATAGTACAAGATGTTTTTTTTAAAAAAAAACACCTCTTGTGTCATAGTATGACATTTTAGCTAGTTTCTTTGTGAAGCTGGCATGACTGGAGAGGTGACAGTTCTAATGTTACAGTGCTCAAGAGCAGTTCCTCTTTGGGAAGCAGGTTGATCTGTTTTTGAAAAAAATGATCTATAATGTGTGTTTGTGTGTGTGTATGTATGTGTGTGTATGTGTATGTGTGTATGTATGTATATGTGTATGTATGTGTGTATATGTGTA